CAGTTGGAGTGGGCTCTCAGGTTTGAGACTGGTGCAGTAGGAGTGAGCTAGCCTGGATCTCTGATTTGCAGAGCACACTCACAACCTGGGCTACAACTGATAGCCTCTAAGGCCCCGGGATACTGGGATCCCAGAGACTGTGTGTGTGTGTGTGTGTGTGTGTGTGTGTGTGTGGTGTTAGGGAAGGAGGAGTATGTCTGTGTTCACCTCTAAGAAGTCACAGCAGCAGGCTCTGAGAATCTGGAAACTATCAGCAAGGAATTGAAACCAGTCAATGAAAGGATGGGCCTTTGAAGGTACCAGGAAGTGAATGGGTATTCTGAGAGGCAGCACATACCTTTACCCACTGATTCCAGGGGCTTGGGTCTTGCTTCAAGTCAGAAGAGGCAGTAGTTTTGGGAGGCTGACCTGGCTAGGGAAGGCTTTCTTTGATATGTGCAGCTTATATTGTATAGGGGGTATGGGGTGGGATCATGGGAAATTGGAATGCTACCAGTTTCATGCTTTGGGTTTTTTAATCTAAAAAACACTTGTCTGACTTTTCTGCTGTCTCTTTGTGTATGCTGGTAGGCAAGTGTGCGTGCACACCAAACATGAGCATGTGTGTGAGGGAAGCAGGAAATGTCTCCGAGCCTAAGAACCATGTTTTACAGCTTCTTTGATCAGAAACACTTGGTGGTGGCTTCCACCCACCATCCAGGCCTGAGTAAGGGAAGCGTGGTGATATGGGGTGGGGAGGGGGAGGGGTAGGCAGTAGATCAGGCCCCTCAGCATTTTCCCTCACCATTGTCTTCCATAGAATGTTTTCAGGGGCCTCTCAAGCCCCATCCATCTGGTTTAGCCTAAATCCTCAGGCCAGGGAATATAGTACTACATAATGATTCAGGATTACCATTTGTAGTGATACTCAATTTCCTTTTCTTAACATTGTTGTGGATAAAAATTGAACCAGAGACAAAGTATCCATTTCAGTAAGAAAGTAAGTGAACCATGTTGGATCAGATCTTTGGATATCTGCCAAGTCCTCACCCCCTTCAAGTTGTGCTTCTTGAGTATCTCTTTCTAGTCCTTGGAACTCTCTTCCCTAGGAATTAGTGTGTGGTATCTCTCTGTATATTTGTGATTCACAACTAAATATGAAAATCGCCTCTCCAGGGCTTGAAGCAAATAGCTGGGGTAAAGTTTTGCTCCAGGCAAGTGGGCTATACACTTGGAAGCATTTCCTATGGGAGAGGTTGAAACACTCAACCAAACTTCAGTCTGGGTGAGACACTGTCACTCCCAAAGCTGTCAGCAGAGCAAGGCCCTCTGTCTCAGTCTGTTTAAGCCTGGCATTGCTCTGAAACTGAGTCCTCATCCCATGGGGAATGACGGGGTGGGGTGGGGGGTTTACATTCCTTATTCCTAGTGTTCCTGGCCATGACCCCCTTCCTCCCACTTCCCAGTTTCCTGTGATTCCTCAGAAAACCAGTCTCCCTTCTGAGCCATGGCCTCCTGTGGAGAAGAGCTCTTTCCCTCAACGGACCCCCAGGAGACTTTCTGGCCCTCCTCTGACTTGTTCCCAGGAAATCTGCACCTCAAGGCCTGAGAATGCTGCGCTTTCCACTCTGTCCCCTCCTACTGACTCTAATGCCCTATGTGTTCCAATGTGACCCCTTCATGTCTCTTCTGTGCCACTAGCTTGGCCCTAGGCCTTTTATGAATACCCAAGTCTTAACGATGAACTTTCCAAGCAGGCAGTGTCCAACTTCTTCACTCTTCAGGGACCTGAGTCAGCCCCTTTCCTCTCACAGGTTGGTTGGATGTAGTAATCCAGTGCACTGGGAAAAGGTAGCCAGGTAGGCTGCAGAGTCTAGTGCAGAGGGCTGGAGGAGATTTGGGTACTCTTGTTACCACTACTGGGGTGATATTCAGAAGAGGGGACCTCATACTGTGACCTGACCCAGGACCCTCCTGGAAGAGAGCTCAGCCCAGGTGTGTGTGCGCTTGAGTGTGTGTGCGTACGTGTGTACGTGCGAGATAGAGTGTGCACTTATGCACACGGGTGTAAACTGTTATCTGGTTTTGTTACTCAGGGTGGGCTGGGGACTCACGGGAAAAATCCCCCTCAGCCTGCCCAAGACTGGTTTTTTCCTGTACCCTCTGCAGAAGGGTCAGGGGAAGGGGGTCCAGGTGGGTTGAGGGGGTCGCAATGGATAACCACTAAGGCCACACTGCTGCCGGGAGGAGTGGGGGGATATGAAATGGCCCCAGGGACCTGGCACCTGGCTTTGGTTTTCCGTCTTCTTTCCTCAGGACGCCCCCTGAGGCCTGGGACCTGCTGCGCCTGGCTTTGAGGAGCATCTGTGGCTGGGTGCTCCAGCTGCTGGTGTGATCATGGGCTTCCCTCCTCTCTCAGCAGGGCAGGTGCTCCTGCCCCAGAGACTGGGCAACTGGCTGTTTCTATGACGTATTTATTTTTACTTGTGTTTCATGTCACTTTTTTAAAAAAGCAAACAGAACAATTGTCAGTATAACTGCCTATCAGTTTTCTTTATTTCTCTTTTTGTAAAATAAAATTTAAACTCAAGAAGGCAGTGTTGTTTGATCAAGGAATTGAACAGCTGTTTGGCTGGGTGGTGGTGAAAGGGATATAACAGTATAGTGGGCACTGGGATGGCACTTGGGGGGTGGAGGAGGGAGGGAGGAATAGAGGGTAAGACTGCTGGCAGGCTTCGTTGCAGGTGGGGTTCACTAGGCTTTTTCTGCCTTTGCTCACCTGAAAGGGGCCACCTTTCCTGGCTCTAGAGCAAACAGTGAAACTGACTCAGAGTGGCCTGCGGCTAGATGGTCCTCAATCACAGCAAGTCCTGCTAGGGCAGCCCTAACCGGACTGGGTGGCTGGGGATTGGGTACAGCATCAGTGCCTTCAGCGGGTGGGAGATGGCTGGTGGCAGGATCTGCAGACCACCTTACACTGCATATGCCTTCTCCATTTGTCCCCTGAGTTAGTGGGTCTAACCACTGCCTCACAGAGAACTAACCAGGCTTTGGAATATGGGGAGGTAAGGGAAGGTGGGGGTTGTCTACCTTTTGTCTCTCCAAGTTTGGTCCCTGTAAGGGGAGGAGCCCTAGGGAAACAGTCTCTGGAAGTTTACTGAGGGAGAATTAAAGAGGCTCTGTGGGGATTTCTTGGACAGAGAAAGGCAGGAGGAGACAAAGGCCAAGTCTGGGCTCATGAGAGAATATATGCTATTGGAGAGGACTGGGAGTGCAGTGTGTGTAGGGCAGATGGCTAGGTGAACAGGTCTGCTTACTCTTTCTTCAAGAAGGAAGAGGAACGCTTCCTTTGGCGGCTTGTCTTGGCTGCTACCTCCTGGTGGCTAGCAGAGGTCTTGCAGCGATCCCTGCCAAGGGTTGGGCTTGCTCTGTTGGGAGGCGACAGAGATGAAGATGAGGATGGGGCTTATGGCCAGCAGCCTCAGTCACAGGCTGACTCTCCATTCACAACAGAGGTGGTGAAGCTCCTACGGCACACCCTGAATTCTGACGTGGGCCTCTGGAATTCCCCAACCAGCCTGAAGGAAGTGAGCAGAGAGGATGAGATGAGGAAAGGGCAGCTCCATACAATGGTTTCCTGGGAGAAACTCATCACATTCTAAGAAACAGGAAAAATGACCAGGCACGAGAACTGTGGGCAGAAGCTGTCTTGTCTCTGAACCATGAGCTGACTCTTAGCCCATAGGAAGTGCTTCCAAGTGTATAGCCCACTTGCTTGGAGCACCTAAAGGGTTTGATCATGTATTTGATGTTCATAAGCAAAACAGAACTGCCATGACCCTGCCAACCTAGCCCTGAGTGCCTGTGAGGGGCCAGCTGGCTCTTTCTGCCAGAGAAAGCTCTCTCCCAGACAGCTGAGGACAGGCTTGGCCCTGTGGATGAGTGTCATCCTTTCCTGCCTGTGGAAGGAACTGTGTGAAGTAGTGGGAAAGGAAGCCAGGATTACGAGGGCCTCTGTGTGCCCAGTCTGCCCTTTGCTAGTGCAGTAGTGGAATCCACGCTAAGATGATTCCCCTTCCAAATATCAGTCCTCCCTGTCAGGAGCACCAAGGTAGCAGGGCAAAGTTTCATCTTTGGGGCTCTAGGAGAGTACTTTGTAGGTCCTCAGAAATATGAGCGGAAGATTCAACCTATGTTCAAGGAGCTTACACTTGATCCGGGAGTTACCTAGAATACCTTAAGCTAGAAGGGCAGACCAGCCTCACCCAAGCACATCCTGGGCTCTGAGAGGGGAGCCTGGAGGGGGGCGGTTCCTGGTTAGCCCAAGGGGGCGGGGCCTTGGTTTGTTCACTCAATATCCCCAGCCCCTAGAACTATCCTGGCATCAGTATCCCCAGCCTCTAGAACTATCCATCCTAGCCCCTAGAACTATTCAACTATCCTGGGTGGTTGAATGACCACTCCTGTGCTCTGGTTGGGGTGGGGTGGGGTGGAGCGTTGGAGACATGACTGACATTTGCGCTGTTCCAGAGGTTGGATCCATTCGCTTCTTCCCTGCGTCCAAGTTGGGCGTCGGTTTCCTCAGTTGTAAGAGGGGGGCAAGTGGCCCTGCCCTGCTGGGTTCACAGGTCTGTCGGGAAGCTTCAGGAAGAGAAAGTGGCAGGACGAAGGGTGGTACAAATAAATGCCAGAGGCTGATACTGCTCTGCTGAACTTCCCAAGCCTCTTCAAACGCTCCGCTCTGGTGAGGGCTTCCTTGGACTCCAGCCTGGCTCTCTACTGTGGGCCACCAGGCTAACTTCCGGCCGCCTCACACGTCTGGGGCAGGGTAAGTTTGTGGGAGGCAGGAAGGTGCTCAGTGGGCTCCGCCCCTGACGGCAGGGGTGTGGGGGGGTGGGGAGGGAAATGGGCGCCGCTCGTTGCTATGGAGACCGGGCGGGGCAGGCCTCCGCCCTCCGGGTCCCGCGCGCACGCGCCCACGGCCACGGCCACGTCCCGCCGCGAGAGGGGGCGGAGCCAACGTGCGCGGCAGGCGCGCGTAGGCTCCGCGACCTAGCCTGTAGCCGCCTGCGCGGATCGGCGTCCGCGCCGGGCGGCCGCTGAGGTGAGGGCCGGGCCGGAGGAGAGGGGTCCCGCTGGGGCGGCCCCACGCGCGCTGAGGGCCTGAAACCTCCGTCCGCCTGGGGGCGACCTCAGGGGCCCCCGCGTCCCCTCCGTGACCCCCGCGGCCCAGGCCGCACTTTGCATCTTGTCTCGCCCGCAGCTGGCCCCGACCGGGTCCAAAGGCCCGAACGCGACCTTGGACCAGTCTACCACGCTCGGTCGCCCGTGCTTCGGCCTCCGGTGCAGGGCACGCCCCGAGGCAGTGAAGCCCGAGCGGGGGGTGGGGGTGGGGAACTGAGGCAAGAACCGCACTTTAACTCCGCCCCGGCCCTTGGAGGCCGCGCCTCGCAGCGGTGGCTACAAACTTTAGCGTCTCTTAAGTTTCGGAGGTGTGTGAGGCCCAGTGAGGTTGTGGCTGAAAAGAAAGGGGCTGAGTAAATAGGCGAGGTGCGGGTAAGCAGGGCTGGAAGCCCAGAGTGGGAGGCGGAGCACCTTCTTCCCGCGCAGGCCCCTCGGAAGCCGGGTCTTTCCGCTCCCCGCTGGCACCGAAGTTTAAGGGCCTGGCCCGCTGCCGCGGCGCAAGTGAGCAGCTCCAGGAAGCCGACGCGGGACAGCCCGCCCAGACCCTCGCCGGCAGCGGGCCAGAGGGGGACAGCCTGCCAGATGTCAGCGGCAGGGGCTGTTTCAGAGCGAGGTGCGGTGACTGGAACCCTCCAGGAAGAGGGCTCTCCAAAAACGGGCATGAGCCTGGCCCCAGTAAGAGTTCACATTACGAGGCCGAGTTTGGCTTCTGATTTCCGGAAGGGGTGTGAGGACGAGGTAGAGGTGCAACCTTGTGAAGACAGAGTTAATGTAGAGGCCCTAGTGGGCTTTCCCTGAAAAGGGGACAGTCAAGGCAGGGTGCCCCGCTCAGTGGTGATTTTCTCTCTGCCCCCAGCACTGGAGCACTTGGAGCACTTGGTCCCTGCGGCGCTGGATGCCATGAGTTCCTAAAAGTGAGCCTGTCTTTTTCAGGTGAGCTTCCCCAGCCCTTATCCTGCCTTTTCTCTTGAGTATGGGGAAATTCACTTTGCCCTGCCTCCCTTTTGTGCAGACCCAAGCTCTGGGGTGCATTTTCCCTCTATTCTGGGTAGTTTAGGAGGTGAGAGGAAGAGGGAGGTGGGAACTAAGTTGCTTTGAGGAGGATGGGGAGTGTGCAGCTGAGAGGGTAGGTCAAAGTGAGGGATGGTCGCTCTCAAGGCAACGTGGAGACCTAGCTGCTGAGTGAGAGCTTCCAGCTGAGAGCCTTGGGTTCAGAGATGTCCAAGCATGGATTAGAAAAAAGCTTGAGCTTTTCTGGAAACTCTGTCACCAGGAAGGAGAACGTGGAAATGGGGCCTGGAGTCAGACTACTTGAGTTCCCATTGCCTGCATTTTGGTCTAGGGTTCTATTTAGTACCTGTGTGACCTTGAGTAAGTCTCTTAACCTCCTGATTCACACCTACCTTGTCTTGAGGATTAATAAAGTAGCTGTGTTTCAACATTTAGGTAGTGCCTGGCATATAGTAAGTACTCGGTAAAAGAGGTATCATCATTATCACCAAAGAAAACAGGAATGAAACTAGAGGCAAGATGAGTAGGACAGCGAATGCATCCCAAAAAAAGCACACCTGTGGGGCAGGAACACATATGGGTAAAAGAAGACCAGTGTGATGCATCTCAATTTTATGATATCAGAGATGTAGGAGTTTAGTTTGCCTCTTTGTGAGGCAAACACTGTGTGTTCATTGACGCCAAAGACAATTTTTCGGTAAAAAATTTTGACACCCAGAACCCATAGGGAATAAATTATTCCACAGAGCTAAGTTTTCCATAGGGTTGAAGTATTGACTTTCAGCTCCCAGGTCTTTTAAATTTTAAATATTAATTTTAAATACTTGGGGTGAGACTGTTCCTCCAATGGGTCACATGTTTCCCTTCCTCTTTAAACATTCTTGTCTGTGCTATGATTCTCCCCACCCCCCCCGCCGGGCGACTCAGGTTAAACCTTCTTATTAAAAAAATATAATAAACCTTCTTATAAGAGGGTTAGGCTTCTGGCCCCATGCTTCATGGAGGGCTGAACGGTCTGCCTTGAGTGGCTCACATACCAGCCTCTGCTGTGTGTCTGAGCCTGCTCTTGAATAGCTTCTCTTGCTTTTTTTTTTTTTCTTCATTGAAATGAGTGTCTTTATTGCTTGTACCATACAGAAAGGAGGAATGAGGAAAGGCCAGTGGGGAGGAGGGACAATTGTCAGATAAACGACATAAACACAAAAAGGAAAAAAAACACTCCCTCATCCCACCCCATGATGCTTTTCTGTGAACTACCTAGTAGAGGAGGTGGGGTGGCAGGATCAAAACCACAAAGAATAATTCTGAACACCTGGAGATGCTGGTAGAGGGGAGGAACAGGGCAGCAAGTAGACCCAGCTGTGACTCCCCCCCCCCCCCCCCCCCCCCCGCCCCACACAGGCCAGCACCCCTTTCCCATGGGATGAACTACTTGGGCCAGGGAATAATTGTTCTCCCTGGTGTGTTTCCATTTCTAGCAAACTTTTCTTCCTCCTCCTAGTTTCTAACCTATGAGCTGGAAAAGTGGGATGTAGCTTGTTGGCACCAGTGGTTCAAGTCTGGGAAGCACAGTGCTGGACTTTGTTCTGGCTGCTCAGGCTGATTTGGTCTGATCTTCCCTTGGTTCTGGATGGGTGAGCTTGCTGGAGACCAAGATTCCGAGGGCCAGATGTACTTAGAGAAGGAGAATTTCCTGTGAGAGTCTCTTTCTGTGGCACATTTTCCCCGTGGGGTTTCTTTTCCTTATGGTTTCCCTATTTGTTAATAAGTGATTGGACCCTGGCGCTTGCCCATCCTCCCCCTGGCAGTGGTCCATGAGGCTTGGGGAGGCCAGGCAGGCAGTGTGGCAGTGTGTGGAAAGGAAGAGGTAATGTAGGGAAAAGGCAGCCTGGCTGACGTCTTGCCCATCTTGGGGGAGGTTGGTCAGGGCTGGAAGTATGTCCCTGGCTGACTCACTCCTGTGCGCCTCTATGACTCAGTTTCCCCAGGTGTGACCAAGGGCTGCCCGCCAACAGGCAGAGCTGTTCTGGGAGCCTCAACAATTGTGATTAAGAAATAAAGAGGCTTGTGGCTTCAGTCATCCTTTGTAGCTCTCTTCTAGGTCACTCTGTGTGTAAACACCATGGCCCCTCCCCCTCCTGGGTCAGAGCACCCAAGGCAGGACTGAGGTTGGGCCAGAAGTGGCTGGTGGGCAGGTGGGCACATTGGTCAGAGCAGCCTTCTCTCCCTCCTGTCTCTTTTGCAGCTGCCTGGGGGCACAGTGTCGGGGGCACAGAGCCATGTCTGACCTGCTCCTCCTAGGCCTGATTGGGGGCCTGACCCTGCTGCTGCTGCTGACACTGCTGGCCTTTGCCGGGTACTCAGGGCTGCTGGCTGGGGTGGCAGTGAGTGCCGGCTCACCCCCCATCCGCAATGTCACTGTGGCCTACAAGTTCCACATGGGGCCCTACAGCGAGACTGGGCGGCTTTTCACCGAGAGCTGCAGTGTCTCCCCCAAGCTCCGCTCCATCGCCGTCTACTACGACAACCCCCACATGGTAAGGAGCCTCCTGTGCCCTGGCTGGGGTTCTGCCCCATGGATGGACATGGGGCAGAGGTGTTGTAGTTTCTGAGGAAGGGGTGGGAAAATCTGTGAGCTGGTCCTACATACCACCTCCTCTCTGAGCTTGAAGCTCCTTCCAGATTTAACCTGGACTCCTGCTCCAGGCATCCTTTCTCCTTGCCCCAGGTCTGGTTCTCGGCTCATGGCTACCCATGGACTTCTGACTGCAGGGGGCCACACTATTGCGTGTCCCTAGTTTCTGCCAGTAATTTGGTCCCCTGCCTCTTCTTGCTGTGCCTCCTTCTTTCATTCCCATTAGAGGCCAGTGCTCTAAGGCCGGGCTGTTCAGATTCCACCCTCTCTCTGGAGTCATATCTTATCGTTTCTATGCCTTCCCTCTTTCAGCTTTCCTGCTATGGCTACAGCTCCTCAAGGGTTGAGAGAGCAGGTCCTGGGCATGGGGCTTAGAATCCTACCTCTTCGGCCATTCTGGTGGCCCCTGCCTCAGTGATACGGCATTTCTTTGGATGTTAAGCTGCCTGGTTTGGAGGGGATGGTCAGGGGGAGATCAAGTGGAGCCAGGTGAGCTGCCCAGAATGTCTAGGATGCTGGGGTCAGAGATGAGCCCAGCATTACTGGCACCCTGTGGGCGTCTGGCTGTACTTACAGCCCGTAGTGAGTCAGGGCTCACCATTGTGGCCTCTTGCCATGCATGGGGTGGTACTGCCCACAGCTGCATGGGCTGGCAGCTCTACCAAGAGTTCTTCAGCCTTCAGCTCTGAGTTTTGGCAAACAGACCATTGGGAATCCCCAGCTCTGGATTCCTTGCCTGTAGAGCTCAAGTAGGCAAGGCCTACAGCCTACCCACTGTCTCCTACCAAGCCTCAGTGGGACACTTAATAGAAACAAATATGTGCTGACTCTCTGTGCCAGGTTCTTCTTGACACCTGCACTCCAGAGATGAACAAACCTGGCCCTGCCCTCAAAAAAGCTTCACGTGGTTGGCAAGTCAGCACTATACAAACAAGTCTCTAATAGGCACTGTACTTGATACCTATAGAGCTTTGAGCTGTGGGTTTGGGGAGGGTACCTCAAGTTTGCCTGAGAAGATCACAGAGGAGGTGGACTTTAGCTGGGACTTCTCCCATGAGTAGAACTGCTCTACCAGGAGGGGCCTTCTGACTGAGGGAAGAACGACAGTAAAGGCTTGCAGACATGGGACGATAGGGGAAGTGTAGCCAGTGGATATGTGGGGGGTGAAGAAAAGAGTAGAAATGTTCGGTGGGCCAGGCAGTGTGAGGAACAGCAGGTTGGGAGGCAAGGGGCCGCACAGTTTGCCCCCTGTGAGTTAGGAAGCTAACTAGATGGCAGGTGGAGGAGAGGAAGAGATGAGGCAGGAAGACCATTGAGGAGATTGGGCTAGGCCCAGGTGAGAGGTGACATTGGCCTGGTTGAGGGACGAGTAGACAGGATTTGAGGTCACGTGGTTGGGAGATGGCACTAAGTGGGAGTTGAGAGCCCTGGAGCCTAAATGACCTGGGGCAGGAGCTGGGCTTTGGAAATCTCCTAGACCAGATGCTGGACCCCCACTCCTGCAGGGCTGTGTTCTGTAAACCCCTGCCCCTCCTTCCACACCTGGCCCAGTTGGAGCCCTCTGCAAGGCCTCAGTGGGAAGGAGGAGAGTCCTTGCAGTTGCCTCTTTCCTCATCAGCGTGTCCTGTTCCTAAAGCAGCACATTGCCTCTTGGGTTGGAAATGCTAATTCCAGGATAGGAAAGGGCCAAGGCAGCAGTGTACCTTGGGGTCAGTGCTGGAGGCTGATCCAGGGAACAGTGAGATAGAAGAATCTTGGCATGGTGTGCTCTCCCCATGGCCGGCCCAGCCACTGCCTCCAGGCAGCCCACCATGTAGCTGTCTTTGGGTGGGGGGGTGGCTGTTTGGTTGGGTGCAGCCTGACTTGGGTGCCAGTCTGAGAATACAGCCTCAAGGTTGGCAGTCCTGGGTTCTGATTCTGGTTCATCACTGTCATGCTGTACGATCTTGAGCATATCACATAATCTCTCTAAGCTTCTGTTTCTTCATCTATAGAGCTATGTTAAGATACCTGCTTCATATGTTGTCTGGCAGGAATTAAATTAGGTGACATAGGTGAGGCATTCATCCTACCACCTGGCCCTCGATAGCTGTTTAGCAACAACAAAAAAGGGTGGACAAGACATTCATGCTAATTAGGTGCACTTAGGCATTAGGCTGAGCACTCATGACCCAGGCCTAGACCCTTGGCCTGGTTGTGGACATCTGGCTGTCTCAGAGGATGAGTGTATAGGTTAAAGTGGTCCCTCTGATCCTGTCCCTCTCAGTCCTGGGTCACTCCAGAAGACACCCGTGTCCACATTCAGAGCTAGGTCAGACCCTGACACCAGGGATAGCTCAGGGATGCTTAGTCTCCACCTACTCTGGGAGCTGGGCAGTGTATTCTCTGCCTAGCAGGGATTCTCACAGAGGGTTTAGGGGACCATGGAACCCCCCAGACTTCAGGTGCTCATGGCTATCACAGACTGTCTATAAGGACCTGGGGCCTCAGGGTCCACACTGCTGATGTGATAGAGGAGGAGACTGAGGATCAGATAGCAAGAGTTGAGGTATTGATCTTACATAGTTCACTCATACTTTTTGCTTTTATTTAACAAATGTGCCACACTGCTGGGCACTGGGGCACTGTGAAGACCAAAGGGCCCAGCCCTCAGGACCTCTCAGTGTGGGTGTATCAGGGTAGCCTGGGTGAAAGACCTCATCCAGTCCTGGGGAAGGCTAAGAACCCAAGCCTTCTCCCTAGGCTACCTCCCTAAGCAGTGTCTAGCATGGGGCCCTGCATATTTTGGTTCACAGACGGAGGGGACAGGATGTAGGCTGAGCTGTTGTGTGGCCCATCCCCACACTTTCTCCCTCCCCAGTGAGCACAGTGGGAGCCAGAACCTGCTTCTGTGTGAGAGTAGGGAGGAGTGAGGCTCTTTCAGGTCTGTGAGTGGGCAGGGAGTGGCCAGGTGTGAGGTGGCCACCTACTATCTATCAGTGCTGCCCTCCCCCTTAAGGTGTGGACTGAAAGCTCTTTAGCCACTTCCCTTCTAGGCCTCAGCTCCTGGCCTCAGCTGGACAGGGGGAGGCTGATTTCTGAGAAAGGCCTGGGGGAGGCCTCACTTGGTCTGGCTGTGGGCGCAGGAGTGACACAGGAAAGGGCACCACCAAGGCAAGGTCATGGCGATCGCTGTGGACTCTTTCATGTCAGATGCTGTTTGAGCATGTTTATAACTCGTCAGCTCTGTGTCTTGGAGGGTCAGCATATATATGTCAGTCAACTCCAGATCCTGGAGTTCTGTATGGAAGAAGTTGCAGGGTCTGGGCAGCTGGTTCTTGTTGGGCAAGAGAAAGGATTCCGTTCTCCATCCCTGAGGGCCTTTGGAGAGGTAGGAGGAGGAATGAGGGAACATGTGACAGGAAGTGGACCGACCCTGGTAGTGGCTCATAGGTGTTCTTCTTCTCTCCAGGGCCCAGCATTCTTGGAGTGCGGCCATTTCCTCTTCTAAGTACCAAGGGAAGGGGTGAGTTCCACAGTCAGTCATTGATTTCTGCCTGCCCCCTCCCCACAGTGTACATGCGAACACACACGCACACACACATGCACACACACACAGATTCAGTTCTGTTCTTGTAAAGCTGGAGAAGAGTCAAAATTGCTCTGCCCTCAGCCCTGCTTCTGAGGTGGGGTGTGGGGTCTGCGGCCTGGTCCCTTGGGGAGCCTGGGGTTTTGGAGGGGAGGGAAAGAGCCAGGAGGACCCTGAGTGGCTCACTTGATCCTGGCCAGCTCTGGACTGCAGATAGGCCCTTCTGGGTCAGCTGCTATCACTGTGCCCATGGATCTGTCCTGTGTGCCATCCTGGCCCTCCACCCCCTGCTCCACCCTCTGCTGCTACCACCTCCACTGCAACTTGGGCCTTAAGCAACCTGTCTGCCTGCCCTGTGGGGAGCCTGGCTGCGGCAGGTGGGGCGTGGCAGCCGGTTCAGTTTACCTGGCTGAGGCCCAGGTATGGAGCAGATGGGGGAACTGGTGGTGCTTGGGTTCTGCCTTTAGTAAACTAGACTGTGCTGAAGCTCCCTTTTTCTCCTAGTCCACTGAGAGTCAGCCTCGGAGCACCAAGTCTGCAGGGGCTAAGGCTGGTACGAGTGTTGATTTAGGCCTGTTCCGCACTTCCCCTTTAGTGTGTGTGGGGATGGGCCCTCCCCTGCGATCCCTGGAGGCACTGAGACCACTTGGAGCCTGGGAGGGAATGAGGGAGTAGGATTGCCCAGGGTTGACCCCTCAACAAGGGCAGTGGGAATGTGGGCTATCTGATGTTTCCAAGGGCCCAGGCCATTCCCTACCCCAATTACATGTGATGGTTTTCATCCAGATGGAGTCCAGGCTTTTGCTCTGAAGCAGGTTAACTGGGGTGGGGGGGGGGCAGCCCTGGAAAGCAGAGCTGCCTTTGGTAGGGAGGAGGGCTGGGGTGTGGGAGAAGAGGGCTTTGGACTCTTTCTGGGTTTGAATCAAGGCTCCACTGCTTACTAGAGTGTGATTCTGAGGGAGTCACCTGGTCTTTCTGAGAATCCCTAACTCGGGTTTTGTTTTTCTGGGGACTAAATAATAAGGATAAGGCCCAATACCTGGCCCCCAGTAGATGTTTAGTACTCTTGGTACCCCCTCCCCTGGGCCTCATGCCACTAGGACTTTGTGCTTTTGGGAATCCTGCTTGCCTGCGTCTGGCCTAGCCTCTTGCAGGATACCTGGGCCATGAGAGGAGGCTCAGCATAGGGATGCTCCATTATGCAGGCCGTTCCTAGCCAGGGCTTATTTCTTAGGCTCCCAGGTGGCTTTGCGTCCTGTGGTGCAGCTCTGGAGCCAGGTGCCTGGGTTCGAATCCAGACTCCAACACTGCCTTGCTGTGTGGCCCTTTCTGAATAGCTTTGCTGTCTGGGCCTCAGAAACAAGTTGATAATGGTACCTATTGCACGGTGTTGTTTGGATTGAATGAGCTTATATGTGGAAGACAGCAACTGGCGCAGATGGTGAGCACCTTGTCAGGTACCAGCTGTTGTTAGGATTATGCTTGGGGGTGAAAAGAAGACCTTGAAAGACTTCTAAGTGAGAGTTCCCAGAAAGTCCCCAGGCCCCCCTTTGGAGGTTGGCATCCTGCTTACTCCCCTCCCCTCCAGCCTGAAATACGGGTCCTGTCCTCTGGCACTGCTGTCTGTGTCACCCATATCCTGACTAGTGCCAGACCAGCTTTTGCCTTTGGATACCACCTGCTTGGGGAATTTTGTGGGGCTTGGTGTGTTGACCTGCAGCACCCCAAAGGTTAAATGAACCCACTGTTCACCCTCCAGTAATGAACAGCTGCAGCTGCTCTGTTCCCCCTCGGGGGTACCAGTGCCAGTGAAGGGCACTGTCCCTACATGTCCCCTTACCTTGGGCAGCTTTGGGCTGGATATGCTGGCCAGGAGGAGTCGAGGCAGCTCGCTGGGCCTGGGATCGGCAGGCATTGCAGCTGTCTTCATCAGATGTTGGAGGTCCTAGACTGGCCATTTCTACTGAACCCAACAACTGGGTTTGGTCTGGACCAACTGACACCATTTTTCCTTCCTGGATCCTGGAAGATACCAGTCTTGTCCATTTTCTAGACTCAGTGAAGTCTTAGCCAGGCAGGGACTCTCTTCACTATGGCCTCACCAATAGGGTCAGCCTGGCACTATGAGACCTCTCTGGTAGGAGCACTGGGGCCAGCTTGTACCCAGAAGCTTTAGGCTCCAAGCAGACTGCCTTCTTCTCACATGCCAGGACTCCAGAGGCCTCACAGCTCTTGTTCTGGGCACAGGTACCTAGAGAAATGACTGATATAGGGAGGAAAGAGAGCAAGCAGATGGAACTGGGAAGCCCAGGTTGACCTCCTACGGTCAGGCCCAAATAGAGGCATTGCATTGAACTAAGGTGGATGGAGTTTCTAGCTGTGAGGACACTCCTTTGTCTTCTAGGCCCTTGACCTCAGTGGGCCATTCTCCTGGAGGTGGGCATGGGCTCTCCAGGGAGCCCAGGGAAGCCTTCCCCTGCTCCTGACCAGCCTTGCCCCTCCCCAGCTGGTCTTCAGGCCTGTTCCATCTCCTTGCTGGTGCCTGGTTCAGCTGCTGAACTCCAGCAGCTCCTGCTGGTACAGGGCTGCTTAGCAGGTGGTGGGCTTGCTGAGTAACTTCCTAGGCTGCCCTTTAGCTACTGGCCAGGGCAGAATGGGGCAGGAGGTATCCTCACTCGTGGAATTGAGGGGTTGCTCAAGCAGAAAGGTAGGGCCGGAGGCTGATACACCTCCAGGATCTCAGGAGTCCTGTCTCCTTATTAGCTTCTTCCCTTCCCTGTGATGGGAGTTCCTCTTTCGAGATAGAGGAAGAAGAGGTTTGCTCATGTGCAGGGCCCATGTGTGCATGTACAGGCATTCATGTGCTGTTGCTAAGCATACCCCAAGAACTTCATGTGTGCACAGGGTCCTGGACCTTTCTGCCTAGAAGCCTGGAGTGGTGGGGAGAGACGGAGGGACCATCAGTTACTGTGCAGCACAAGGCCTGCTCCTTCGGGTCGGCATTTGGGATCAGAGAGGAAGGGCTGCTTGGCAGGGACCATCAGAAGGCTTTGAGGAGGAGGGTTGAGCTGAGTCTTGAAGGATGCGCAGGAGTTTCCCAGGCAGAAGGGACTCTGGAGTAGGGTGAAGAAGGACATTCCAGGCAGAGGAAGTAGCTTACGCAAAGGCAGGAAGCATGGGAGGACGTGGCATGTTTGGGGAGCTGCAAATAGTTCCGTGTGGGCGTGTGCAGGGTTGTGGTGGGAGAGGAGGTTGGCAACGTGGGCTGGGCCCGAACCTGGATCTTTCCCTCCCTCTGCCACTCAGATACTCAGTGGACACCTGCCCACCTGGGTTCTGGCCCTTGCTGGGGCCTGGGGATGCAAAAAAAAGTGCTAGGCAAGTGTGTGGATAAATCCAGGCAGTATCGTATGGACCACTTAAGACAGTGTTGCATGCTGGGCTTGAGAGTTTCATCCTAGAGCAGAATTGGGAGCCACTGAAAAGTTATAAGCAGGGTCGTCACGGGTGTTGTGGTGCTTTTTGCGGGTCAGTGAGGATGTTGGGCTTGGGAGCTCCATAAAGGCTGCTGAAGTGATCCCTGAAAAGACCCTGGGACCCAATCCCAGGTAGGCCAAAGATGATCAGTCAGGTGGCTTTCCATCCATTTCTCCATCTAAGCTATATTGAATGTTTCTTTTGTACATCATAAGTTGCTGGGGTCAGGATCATGGTGACTGGCATTGCCTCAGGCACTCTCCCTCTGTCTGCAGGAGGCCCTGGCAGCGCCTCCCGTCCCAAGCCTTGGGCGTGGATGGAGCAGCTGCACCATCTATAGACGAGAGTTGGTACTGCACTTGGCTCCAGTGCCTCTGCCTGGGTGGGGTGGGAGGGGTGTCAGGCCAGTGAAGTGACTGCTACCAGGTAGAGTTGATGGAGGCAAGAGTTTACAGCAGAATGTTGGGGGGGGGGCGGTGACAGACACTGAGCTACCCTGAAAGGCTCCCCAGGAGGGTGCTTGAGCCTGAAGAATGGGCAGGGAGGAGCTACGTGTTCAGAGGTTTGGGTGAATGGGCATTGCAGGCCAAGAGCCACTTACTGGGCCGTGTCATAGCTGCTAATAACCAACAACATTTACAGCACTTGCTGAGTTCTGTACCAGGCTGAGCCCTCATATGGAGTATCTCATTCAATACGTCAATTCTGTAAGGAACTTGCGCTCCAAGAAATGAAGGGACTTATCCAGAGTTTACACCCAGTCCTGCCTTTCTCCAGAAGTTGTGGTCCTGACCGCTGCATCATAGTGCCTGCCAGTAAAGCCCTGAGCTAGGCTTAATGACATAGGATGCAAGGGGGCCCTAGCTGCAGAGAGCTGGGAGTGACCCCCAGGGACTGCACAGAAGTGAGAACCTGGAGTCGGTGCATGAGTCCCAGGCAAAGTGAGACTCCCAAGGACAGAGCTGGGCTGGGCTGAGAAACCCCTAGGGGATTGTTGACAGGGCTTGGAAAGAGAGGACAGAAGCAAGAACAGGTAAAAATGACTTCATAGTGCTGGGAAGGTATGCCAAGAGAAGCAACTGGAGGTAGAGGGAGTTTGAATTTAAGGGTCAGTGGGCCCCAGGTAGTGGGAGAAAGGGACCTTCAAGTTGAGGGAAATCCAGGATTGACGGCACAAGGTCTGTGATGAGTGTCTTAGATTCAGGATCAGATACCCCTGGGGGTATCAGGGGCTGGTGTAGATTCAGGTGGCAGGAGATGAGACAACTTGGGGCCCCTTGATGCCAGAAGGAGAGATGAGTTCTGGGCCTTGCAGGCCTGGGGCCAGGCCTAGGAAGTGTTAGAGACTCACATGGAGCCCCGCCTGCCTTGAGTTTATGGGATCCAGGAGGGTGAGGACAGCTAAGGAGGGGATCAGAGTGCAGTTACATACAGGTACTGGGGGCCCAGGGAGACTTGGAGGGGAACCAGCAGTCTCCACGTGAGCCAGAAGGGACTTGGCAAGTGTGTCAGGGCTTGGGATGGGGCACAGGTTGGAGAGGAGGTCTGGAGGCTCTGGTGATTGTGGCTGGCCCAGCCTGAGGGACTGGGGAAGAGGATCTCAGTTTCATCAGCAATCCACAGTTCAGTGTGGTCCCACTTCCTGACCAGTGCTTCCTGCACCCCCTTCACAGCACAAGGCCTGGCATATTTGTTGGAGGCATAAAGGAAGGGATGGATGAGTCCTGCAGCAGGATGCCAGAGGCTGGGGCCACGGATCAGTTCCAGAAAGAAAATACTCTTCTCCATCGTGGTATCTGGGGCTGTGGCCTGTTGGGGCTGGTGGTTCTGCCAGGCCTGAGCTGGCACAGAACCCAGGTGGCAAGAGTTCTGAGAGCCCCCTTCCTTTGCCCAACCCTGACACCCCTGCTCTTCCTCCCCAGGTACCCCCTGAGAAGTGCCGCTGTGCGGTGGGCAGCATTCTGAGCGAGGGTGAGGAGTCACCCTCCCCTGAGCTCATCCAACTCTACCAGAAATTTGGCTTCAAGGTGTTCTCCTTCCCAGCACCCAGCCATGTGGTGACAACCACCTTCCCCTACACCTCCACCCTGTCCATCTGGCTGGCTACCCGCCGTGTCCATCCTGCCCTGGATGCCTACATCAAGGTGAGAGACAGGCCTAGTGTATGTGTGTGTTGGAGGATAGCCAGTCCTTTGGGTGGGAGACAGGGAGGACTGCCTAGGCTGGGAGGAAAAGCTGCCTTTGGGAGGGCAACACCCTGGGGCCTTCATGGAGCAGATGCCTATAGAGCTAGGAAGATGGGCAGAGGCTGCTGGCATCTATCCCAAATGCCCAAGACCTTGTGGGTGCCAGAGCATCTACTAGGAGCATAGGGAGCTTGTTCAGAAACCTAGCCTGGTCAGTTCAACTCTGGCTTGGACCAGAGCCATTTTTAGTTCTCCGCCTCCACTCCAGGCTCATATGGATGGACAGGTCCACCCTGACCCTTTCCTGCTGGAGGCCCACAAAGCAAGAGGCCTGAGGCTTCCAGTGGCTGGCAGGCCCCAGATGTTGATGTTTTGCCCCGGGCCTGGCCCCTGCATGGGCTTGTACAGCAGCCCTTTCTCCTTTAGTTCCTGACCTGGTCATTGGCAATGCTGGCAGACTGGCCTACCTGGAGGAAGGAAGAGAGCCAACCACCAGGAGATCTGATCGGGGGTCTCTGTGTCCACAGAGATTTTTTTTTTTTAATTTTTCCCTGTTGCACATCCCTCTTCCTCCAGAACATTTTGTAAACTTGGGTTCTAGGAAATGACCCAGTTGGGCTTGAAAGCAATTGTTTATTCATCCATTCAACTTGAATTTATTGAATGTCTATGTGCCATGTACTGTGCTGGACACAGTGTGAAATGTTGGTATATGAGATACACATTTACAGCAAATGGTAGAGGCAGGTAATAAATGTCAGACAAGGGGCGCCTGGCTGGCTCAGTCAGTAGAGCGTGCAACTCTTGATCTCAGGCATGTGAGTTTGAGCCCCACATTGGGTGTAGAGATAACTTAAAAATAAAATCTTTAAAAAAAATGTCAGACAAAAATGGGATATGTACTAGAAAAGAATGGTGAGGAAGGTCAGGGGACCAACTTGGATAGAGTGGTCAGGGACAGCCTCTTGGAGGAGATAACCTCTCAGGTGGAATCCTGAAAGAGCCGTTGGAGAAGGGGGTAAGAAGAGCGGAGTGGAAGCATGGGTTTGACCTAAAGATGGTGGAAAGTCAGGTTCCTTTCCAGCCAGGAAAGGAACACGTGATCTGAGCCTCTTAGCCACACGTGTACAAGACAGGCGCTCTCATCCTGCGCAGGGTGGGACCAGACCCCAGATCCCTGGGGCCAGTGGAGGTGCTTAGGAGGCTGTCAGGATTTCTACAAGAATGGTGGTTGCTTGGACTGGGCCAGTGGAGGTGCTTAGGAGGCTGTCAGGATTTCTACAGGAATGGTGGTTGCTTGGACTGGGCCAGTGGAGG